AAAATTTGTATGGCGGCCATTTTGTTTTTCGAATTTTGAACTTTTTTTACTTTCCTTAAAAATTGCCCAGGGTGTGTATGAACATTTGTTTGGGCACTTTGAGCCTGGACGTATACTTTGGCCGGACGGCTAGGGTAGTACCTGATGCGGAGCACATTTCAAAGAGTTGAATAGTTTTTGACGTTCATATGACCGATATAACCATTACTCTCCTACATCACTTGTACCTATCCACCCTTCTTCTGGGCGAAAAATGACTCCAAAGGGCGAAAGTTTCACATGTACGGCGGCCATCTTGGAAAATGGCGGAATCAAAATTCTAACCCCAGATTTGTAACCTAAGCCCCCATACACGTCCGCATGCAAAATTTCGGCCGGATTGGACCACCTTTTTTTCGGGCCGCCATTTTGAGTCGGCCATCTTGAAAAAAATTTGTCACCGGCAGTTGACCCCCGCCGCCCTCTATGACATTTGGTCGAGCACCCCCCACCTACCTCTTGTAGTTTTCGAGATATAAAGCTCTGCAATTTGTATGGCGGCCATCTTGTTTTTACGAATTTCGAATTTTTTTCACTTCCGTTAGAAATTGACCAGGGTGGCGGCCATTTTTAGTAAGAACACCTTTCCGGTAGGTCTTATACTTTAGCCGCGCGCGTAGGCGTTCACCTGATGCAGTCCACTTTTCGAAGATTTCGGATTTTTCTGGTACTCACGGGACCGATCCGTCTACGAGTCTGGTACATTATTTTTACCCACCGGCACTCCTTCTGGGAGAACAATTATGTCAGTATCTAGATCAGTGGTAATCGAGCTATATATAGTATAATATATTACTTTTATCTCTATTTTGTCAGCTATATGGCGTTATCAAATTATTTCTTTTTTCAGGTTACATAAAAACAGATCTAGTGTCAAAAGGCTGTGTGAGATGCAAAGCAGTGCCAAGCGTTACGCACTTGTGAGTGCCAAAACACGAATTTTATTACATTGGTGCATTGGTATGAAACTGTACGGGATACAAACAGGGATTTTATAACGTGGTAATTGATGTAATAACAATATTTGAAGGGTCAGTGCAAGAATTTGCAACTCCGCATCGAGTTGTTCAATACGCGCCCTCGTAATACCCTATTCTAAGGAATATGAGGTGCGCTTTTGGTTCGTACTGAAATTCATTATAAAACAATTAAAAGTGCATCTTGAAGCGTTCACATAAGATTGAAATATGTAGTGATCCGAGCACATGTAATGACAAATTTGCAAGATTACTAAGTTTGATACATTGACTAAAAATTTGATGTCATTAATACAATGTTAAGAATAACTTGTTTTTACCAAAATGTGGGGCTTAAAGATTCTTCCGCTTCTCCCTACCATGTTTAACTATCTATGTGTAAAATAATTAGATCTATCTGTAGGCGGATTTACACTTGGTCGACAGGTCGCATTCGCTTGCCTGCCGAAGACTGCAACCTATTCAGTGTAAACATAATTGACCACCGTAGTTCGCAGCCGAAATCGACCGAGTCGACGAGGTGTAAACACTCGCGCCATTCGATTAAGCAAGTTTCAACGTGGCGGCTCCGTTCCACCACGATAATAATAATTATAAAGACATATTGAAAATTGTGTAAACTACGCATTGAATATCAGTTGAATTATACTTTAAGCAAGAGACTGGAGTTAGGTAACAAGTTTACTTATAGGTTACTGATCTCCAGCCTGCCATCCATTACACTTTTTTTAATGAACCTAACTGCACTATATAGTGAATGATACACGTGCTGAGGACCGGAGTATATCCGGATACCCGATCACGTTTCGAACTTGTATTTACGAGTATAATGATTTGATTTCGGCGAAGGCGGCAATCGACTCGGTGTAAATAACGCGTCGACCGCGCCGCTTTCGTCAGCCGAATTAGCTCGCCGAGAAGGTAGCAATTTACTTGGTGTAAACAGCTAGTCGAATGCGCACTCTTCAGCAACTTGAAGTAGTCTGCCGAAGGCGGCAGTCGATCCTGTGTAAACATGCCTTATCGGTGACGAAGAGTTGATATTCTTAGAAACCGCGTCAAAAATTTCAACGTAAAGGCGTTTGTGCAACTATCTACATAATATCGATTAACACCAATATAAAATAATATTGTAATCACTCGGCCAGTAAGGGCGGGTTCCGTGTCCGTCAGGATGGCTGGACCAAACGAGATGTACAAATTAAACTATGCTCATTATTTACTACCTACGTTCTACTATTTAGTACCTTTATTGATATATTTTCTACCTTTGCGCTAACGAAAATATTAAAGAAATAAAGTGGCCAGCCATTCTGACGTCAGGTTGACTGGACCACGTTTTTCATTGTTCTAGCAGTATATAATTTACTTTTTTTATATAACTATTTACTATCTAATTTCTACCTAAACATACTTTTATTCACTATTTTAGGAAGGTTCTATAAAAAGTTATTAAAAAAAACGCCTTTGCAAAACGTCTTTTCTAAAAAGACAGTTTATCTTCTCCATGTAATTTGCAGGCGCTTAGAATATGATCTTTGCCAGCAATGTTTTATAACAATTATTATATTAATTACTAGTTCAATTCACTATTACAAATGGTAATTCCATTTGTAGGTATTAAGGAATACGAACGAATTATAGTCAGTTATTTATAAAGCAAATACACGGAGAAGATACACTGTCTTTTGAGATGTTACCTTTTGCAAAGGCGTTTTTTTAAATAACTTTATAGAAGCTACCTAAAATAATGAAAAAAAATATTTTTAAGCAAAAATTAGGTAGTAAATAGTTTTATAAAAAGTAAATTATATACTGCTAGAACCATGAAAAACGTAACGTGATCCAGCCAATCTGAAGAATGGCTGGCCACTTTTTTCTTTAGTATTACCGTTAGCGCGATAGTAGAAAATATGTCAATAGAGGTATTAAATAGTAGAAAATAGATAGTAAATAATGAGTACAGTTTGATTTATATATCTCGTTTGGTCCAGCCATCCTGACGGAGACGCGCGTTCCAATTATGTCGTTACGTGTTATTTATCGTTGGAAGACTGTCGCTTTAGCCTGTTCCCATATCAGAACTGACTGACGTGGACGTATTTTTATCGTTGAACGACTGTCGTGTCTAGCTATTCCCACTGGATCATAACAACAATTTATCGGTTCACGGCAGCCACCTTGTCGTTGGCACGACAGAATCGTTTGATTTCGCCGAAGGTGCTGGGGCCGAAAGGGGGAGTGGGGAGCAGAACACGTGCAGACAATGATAAATAAAACGCGACGACAATAGTAGCTGCGATTATCTAATCGTGGCGACTTATTTACCGTCGAACGACTGTCGTTCTAGCTATTCCCATTGTCTCGACAGTCTGTCATGGTAACGTGGAAAAAGTTGTGAAGGACAGTTAATCGTGTTGTACTACATGTGAACAACTTCATTTAAATATACAACAAACCACGATACTTTAAACTGCACGATTATCTGTCGTCACGACATCATGGCAATGCCCCCTTACTCGGTGGACTTAACCAAAGAATACACCGAAAATCATAAGCAAAATATATTTATCGAGTTCTTAGGTTTTCGCGATTGTTACACAGGAAATGAAACTATTTTTCCGGATTTAAATCGCGTATATTTGTTTTTTCAAACAAACCGACGTTTCGGGCCCTTTACGTCTAATTTTGTCTAATATTGATGCAAACCACCCTATTTTTTTTCTCCACTGTAGTTAACAATAGTTATTAATTAAATACCTTATTTTTAATTTTACAAAGAAACATTCCAATTTACGCTACATTAGTTTTACAAATTATTTCATTGAATGATTTTTTTATTAAGTTCCATTTATTAATAATTAATAATAGAAATTAGAATAAACTAAAACATATTAATTAGTACTGCAGTCTTATGTCTGTTTGGGATTTTTTATTAGAGGAAATACTGGATCCCACACTGGTGGTACGGAGAAACCATCTTCCCTGTTGAAATTAAGATGTTTTTTAATTTCAATGGCCTCTCGCAGCACCCTGGGTAGATAACGGGACCTGTAAAGGGCCCGAAACGTCGGTTTGTTTGAAAAAACAAATATACGCGATTTTAGTTTCATTGCAAAATATATTTAATATATATTTACAGAAATATTTCCATAAACATAACACATAGGTACGTGCTAGTGATAGATCAGATTTTTCCGCCATAATTATTTTCACCAGAAAGGAATATAATAGCGTCATTCATAATGCAACTTACACTCTTACCAGCGAGGCAAGACAGTCTACCTTTCTCGCTTGCACTTGTGCGTTGCTAATATAATTATTCCTGTTCTTATTTCAATCGAATTGATCTGTCTATCCTTATTCTGTCTAAAAAAAATAATTTAGAATTTGCTGCTTGTACCTTTCGTTCTTCCGAAGGCAATATGGACTCTCCGTCACCGCTATCTGTATCTTTAAATTGAGTTTACAGTGTTGAAACAGCTATTGATATTGGTCAATTCGACACGGTAGACTCACCCTTGACGAGGGACTCAAGTGATCCTCTCAATAATTATTCTAACTTTTATAAATTATTATGTAAAAAATTAATACATTAAGGTTGAACCCCACTTACCGGCACGCTTCGTGATGCGTGAATAGGTATACGATTTCAAAGAGTTTTCTGTGTTTAAAATAACCTTTTGTCCCTAATGATCTTCGCATATAATATTAGCTTCTAGGATTTCTCCTCGATGCTTTTCAAAAACAATAATCCATACAAAATAATTTTCATTTTTTTATTGTATTTTTTGTATGTGCTTAATTTTATTGTTAACAAGATAGCGAGCATTCCACTAGTCACAATAATTACGTGACATGGGGTGGTGTATAATTCGATGAATTTGGCGTCAAAGGGTCTACGAAATACGAAACAATGACCGAAGATCGTGATTTGACAGTTTTTGTTATACCTTACTCCGAAACGTCAATAATGTCAGCTATCGTATCGAATTTTGACATTACTTTCATCGTAAAAGTCACACAATCACGTGGTATCGTGTTACGTGGTAGACCTCAAGATATACCTCAATTTTTTTAAGCCATTTTCCTGAAGATGTTTTTAACATAGGCCGTTTTGCTTAAAAACCATTACCAAGCGGTTTTTTTTTATTTTCGTATGTGTATTTGCTCTAATTGTGCATCGGTGGCATCAATAGTGCCGCGCCTAGCAAGTAGCATTAGCGCATCAATCACAAGATAAATTATAATACATATGCATGTGAAGCAAAATCCGGAGTGACCGGAAGAGGGCCCTGGACGGCGTTTTCCGAACTACTCAGAACAGTCTGAGTTAAACGTGCGATTCGGATTCGGATACGATATCGTTATCCAACAGCGTTTATGGAGTTAGTTTGAAATGGGAATAATGTGTCTTTAGACTACTAGCTACAGGAGCATTACTCAGGGTTACAAAATAAAAAAAAAATGAAAATAAAGTGGAAATTTGTAGAAACGGAAGTGAAAATGCGTCACAGGGTGTATATTTTTCGATTTTTTTTCCAAATGGTCATAATTTTTAAAATACATGACATAGATTTTTTTTTTGGATTTTTCTGATAACGGTTATGACCTGGCCTATCACCCCGTACCGGCTTGACGTCGTATTCCGGGACACCCTGTATACGTGTTTTAAGACTTTAAGGCCTAAAATATAGGAATACATTAGTCTTGCATTAAAATAAATTAATATAATTGAACAAAATCCAGACTTTACATAAAATAATAAGAGATTTCTATATTACATTCTTGCTTTGTAAACAATACTTCGGTAACTTCATTCGATAACTGTGTTCTGAATAACGTTTGTAGCCTTTGCCGGTCGAGAAGTGTGTGACGTCATTTCGGTTCGGTTTCGAATACGATGGTTAGACGTTCGATTCGGGTGTTGTGAATAAAAATGAAAAGAAATCGGTCGGAAAAACAACTGAGTTATCGTAAGTCCTGAGTGATATACGTGACTGCCAGAAGGTTATGCTTATAAATGTTCTTTTTAGCCTACAAAGTTAAGACAGGCGTTTCAACCGCTTCGGTGAGTGTATGAGATTCTGGGCGCGGTGCTGAAGCGTTCCGATAAGTGTGGATTACACCTTAGGTTAGAACCTTTTTAAGAGACTACTAAGTTAAGGTTGTTTATACTTTTCTTTATAAATTTAAGCATATTTTATATTTGTTAAACTATTCTATGTTAACTAAATCATATCTTTTAAACGCATTCCTATTAATTTGTCTATACGCACACTGTTGTATTGTATTAATAAATTATGTCCCTAGTATCTAAAGTGTGTAATTATTATGTATGCGATGTACTAGTATCACTGTTCAATTTAGTTATATTTATTATGAATTTGGTGTCTATTACATGGTTCAAATTAAGACCACGTATTTAACCCTACCTTTTCTATTGCGACCGACTCGAGCAACATAAACAAAACTAACTGCAACATGTAATCTATTTTCAATTTTATTAGTCAACGATATTTCATCATAAATTATGGTCATTGGTCTATAAAACCAAAATAAACTCCTATAAATATGACAATTTTATTGACGACTCCGGTCGCTCAACGATTTGGGCTGGGCGCGGGATGATGTCCTGGGTTCGATTCCTGTTAACACCAATTTGGTTAAATGAACATTTCTAAATTCTTCGGGGTATTCCGGGCAGTACACCGGAGTGAATTCCGTTACTCTGGTATTCAAAAGGCCTCGCGGGACTCATCGTACCATTAAGCGAACCTCTGGTGCAGGGAATTCCCAAGTTTGAGACCAGGTAATTGGAATTTCTGTTCGCATGCCCTTTCAACAGGCCTGCCTCTTAACAGAGTCGGTTCAGAAACGGTTCGGAAATGGTATAATCTTGTATATCACATATTAATCTTGTATATCGCGACGCACACTGCACCATAGGTGAAGCCGGCACTGCATTTATGGAAAGTCGGTATTTTGATCACCTGTCTGAATGGGTTCCACTCTCGTGGACCCCCATCAACATCTCATGCACCCATGTAGGTTGGAGTGGACCCCTGGGGGTTGATACATTATGTAACGTAACAATACGTCCCGCTTTTAAGCTTCGTGTCCCGCTGTCCCCAAGTACTTCATAATGTCCCGCTTTGAATAAACAGGACACTTGACATTAATAAAAAAAAAACTGTCATAAGCAAGTTCTATTTTTAAAACAAATGTACGAATAAGAGTATAATGGTTACGTTAGATACCACTTTGGGAATCGTCGGTTTAGATCATGAGACCCACCAAAAATCAAACAAAGAAACATTAGCGGCTAATTTATTCAACATTATGTACAAACCTATATTAAATCAGTGACTATTTGGGTTTACATTTTTTACTACAACTCATGATGTCATCTATGACGTCTTCCTAAATCAAAACAATCAAGGATCTCACGGACATCCTGGCAACAGAATTCACTATCACTATACTTATACAAAACTAGACAATTATACAATTTTTCCTAATACTTAGTCAAAATCCACCATTTTGTATGTCTACTACAAATTTAAATCACGAGACAGCACGCCACACACGAAAATCACAAATGTTACTCTAAGATGAAGTTAAATTTTTAATTGAATAATTGTACAGTGTTTGTAATACACATACACTGTACAACGTACTGTGAGTGCTGCTAAAGCACCGCACGGCCGTTTACGCAAGGCTTTTGTGCCGGGACTAAAATAAAATTTCATAACACATTTTCAATAACCTTAGTATTTGACACTCGTCCAGTCTTGTTTAAATTGTTAAGTCTGAATAAAAACGGACAAAGCGCTTGCGGGAATTTCGTTACAATCCTTTCATACAGCAAAATTTCTTATTGCCAGCCTATACACTGCATACACGAATGCGTCTTCGGTGTGTGGTGCGCCCTAATTGCGTCATTCGCATTTGTACTAAGAATTTATCTAGATAACGCAGTGTGGCTTTTTGCAACTGACGAAACTGAACGAAGGGTTGCAAATAGATCAAGGTATATTGTTTTTGAGCCGCCGCATCCTGCCGTCTATCGCAGCTAGCATGTAATACATCGACTGGAGTTTTTCTACTTCGTTGGAGTTGCAGATGTGCGTCAGGCTGATGGCCGGGTTGAGATAGCTCGACGCGGTTGGCCGCAACTGCGGATAGATGGCGCTCAACTTAATTTGGCTTTATAACTACACTGTCATTGACTTACAATTATATGGACGTCGGGTCCGCGCTAAAAAGTGTCCGAACTTATAGGGCGTTAAAATCACGCTTTAGTCTTCGTTTGTTCGACTGACAGCGAAGGAAGCAAAATTAGACAGTACTGCGATGACATTACAATTTAAATCTAACGTTTTAGCTTTTTCATATTCCTTTACATGTCACTACGTTTAAATAGGTTGACTTGGGACATTTTTTTCGTGGTTTTTGTATTAGACCCGTCGTCCATTTATTTGTTAGTCAATGTACACAGTGGAAATTTTAACTTGACCGTTATAGTTACAGTATAATCTTAGAAAACTATCCATGAATTTTGAAGATATGCAACTGGCATTCACAGGTTTATTTATTTGTTTATTCATTTAAATCAGACAATTTATGACCCATATATACACTGTTTTTTTTTACTGGGAGAGTATGCGGAAATCTGAAAGTGTAGGAGATGTAGCGAAACTCTCTTATAGAATCCTTGTTTTTTTTTTGTGAAAACTATTCTGGCATAGTGTTTTTTTTTTTGGTCAAGCGTGAGTTGTCTATAGAAACTAATGAAATTCATTAATATGTAAAACTAAGAATTAACGGTGGTGTAAAGTTTTAAAATTACATTGGGCGGTCCCGTAAAGACTTGAGCCTTACCAGAAACAGGATCAATGGCATAAAAAATTGCTATGCGACACGGAGGGAAAATAAATGTTGTAAATAAGATATTTTTCTCAATTATGCTCGGAAATATTTGCATTACTTTCAGGTAACGAACACGGAAAGTTTGTCATTTATGGACCATGCGACTTCTTCCCGGCCAAGGCCTGAAAGTAACTATGAAAATCCATTACTGTCCTCTTCTCTAAACTTTTAAATGGAACTACTAATATTGAACTATATAAACAGGCAAAAGAACTCATAGGTACAGCCAACTGCCCAGTGCTCATAATTATGAGAATTAAAAATACGTATTACACGTTTACTTAAAAAAAAAGAAATTGGTAACATTTAAACTAAAATGTTCTATTATTCTTTTGTTTTTTTGTATTTTGGTGCGAATATGAGTGCTAGTGAGAAGAGCGATAACGAAAATACAATTGGATACACATTGAAATACATCATCAGAAGTTCAGCAGACTACTATTAATGTGCCTAGAAAAACAATAATATTTTTTTTAGCAATTGTCCTAACACGTCAAATATTACTTTTAATATTAATTAATATTTTTTACTTTTTCTATTACACATCTTCCTCTCTTTAGTCTTTTATTACCTATTTCCTCACATTGTTTGAGAAAAATTCTATGCATGCCTCGGCGGGAACGGGGATTGCTTGATGCGTAGATATTAATACAAAGCCTCGCTGTCGCTCGTCCTTGTAACTCATACTCGTCCAGCAATCCCTTACTTCCTCGCCTCTGCAATAATGTAGGTGGAGCGCACTGTAAGTTTCCGAAATGAATAAGGAAAAAAATACTATAAATGGTCAGAAATGAAGTCACTGTTTCTCATAAGGTGAACGTTGTTCACCTTCAAAAATTCATTTGTTTTTCTGGCCTTGAGAGAACTGGCATTATCGTGGTGCAAGATGATACGGCGTTTACGGTTATTTTTACGGAATTTGTCTATGACTTCCGGCAAACAAATGGTCGTGTACCAATCACTATTCACGGTACAACGATTCTCCAAAGTAACAGTAGCCACGTGTCCAGTTTAAAAAAAAAAAGAAGCAGTCATCCCTTTGGAGGCACTTTGCACGCGCGCCACTTTGGTTGGTTTCGGCACATCTCGAAAGACCCATACGCTCGATTGCTACTTTGTTTTGGGATCGTAACTATAAATCCATGTTTCGTCACCTGTTACTATGTCCCACACCAAATTTGACGCCCCTTCGTTGAATCTGGTAAGCATGGCATTGTATCAAGTGACGCGATCCGTTTTTTGAGCCTCAGTCAAATTGTGTGGGATCCACCGAGAGCACAGCTTTTTCACATCCAAATGTTTGTGTAGTATTGATTGTATTTGACTCATGCCTATTCCTAAAGATGCCCGAATCTCATGGTATGTCACATGCCTGTCTGTTTTGATAATACGGCGTACAGCATCGATGTTTTTGCTATTCACAGCAGAGGAAGGGCGACCATCACGAAATTCGTCACTGAGATTCACACGACCGCGTTTGAATTCTGCAAATCAGCTATAAATAGTTGTCTTGCATGGTGCTTCATCGCCAAAAACAGTTTGAAGCCGAGCGAAGCTCCGCTGAGCTGTTCAATTACACTTAATCATACTACGAAAATTTTCACGAGTTAAATCCATGCTGATGTAGACAACCAATTTCTAAAATGACGCCACAATGTAAAAACAAGTGACAGTCAGATGAAACAAACTGTATTCTACAGCCAAAGAGTTCCATTTTCAAATGTTGTAAGTGGCCAGTTCCGAAAACTTATAGTGCGCTCTATGTACTATTGCTTCATGGGGACATTATCTTCTTTTTAAACGAAAGTATAATACTGTACTTAAAGATTTCTTCAATTCCTGAATACTTTCTGTCAATTATAATTTCATAAACCATTATCACAAAGGCGCTCTTTTTAGTTCTGAACCAAAATTCTATTGTCTATGGTAGGTACTCACTATTGAGCTAAAAATATTTCATTATATTTCTGTAGGTACTTACACAGAACAATAATGAGTTTCACAAAAAAGACGTAGTTTTGCTAGTTAAAACAGACTCCTTAAACGCGTCACAGTGTTTCTGGAATAACGTCACTACCTATATTTGTGGAATTATAAAAATTCAAACTATTTTATTAAATAACATCACAAACAGTAACGTAACAGGTACGAAGGCGTAACCGTTTGGCAAAAAAGAACTATTTAAACAATATAAAATATCAAATATCGCTACTCAAACGCTCCACTGCCTCCTGATTGGTTGAGATATAGATACCTAAGCTGTACTTGGCCAAGCTCGGATTTTTGTATTGTAGCGTTTGTTGTTTAAATGCCTCCATGAGTATCTATCTACTACATATAAAGTAGATAGGTACTTTCCCGCCATGTCGCATAGCCGTGAGACAGCCTGTATATTTGCTTTGTTATAGTACTTACGACTTGTTGGGTAGCGTGTTTGGTCTGGCATCCCAGTTCCCCCTTCCCGCTGGGTTTCATGGTGCATGCTTCGGTGCGGAGGTCTGTGAAGACCTGGTACAGAAACCTATCCATCGACACCGGCGGGTACGACGTTGCGGGTATTCGATCTTGTAATTGTCTTGCCACTGAACGTTCAACAAAAACAATTACACTACTTTAACTACATAGTAATAACACTTGAATGTAAGACAACATTGGACAACATCACTAACGTTGCTTTGATCCCAAAGTAAGTAGCTAAAGCGCTTGTGTTATGGAAATCGGAAACAACGACGGTACCACAAACACCCAGACCCGAGACAATGTAGAAAAGTTAGTTTCTACACTGACCCGGCCGGGGATCGAACCCGGGACCTCAGAGATGGCGACACTATGAAAACTGGTGTGCAAGCCGCTCGACCACGACGTATTTTATAATCTCCGCGAATACGCGCGTCATCTGCGCGTATACCTACGCGCCGCAGACGTGCTGTAGTGAATCGATTCAAACGCGCTCAAACATCGCTTTGCAAGCAAGAAAAAAGGCTTACATAAAATTCCATCTAAGTAGTTGCTTCATTTCAAAAATTAACTGAAATTAACAAACAAGACTAAATGCGCAATAGGTAGGTACACGTGCGCGTCTACAGCTCGTCTATGGCGTGTATACGCGCAGATAACGCGCGTTGACGGCGCGTATAAAATACGCAGTAGGTATGCATAGGCTCTTAAGACCGCTTAGCACAAGTGGAGTGATGATTAGAAGTTATAGGTACCTACTACTTGGTGAATTTGATAAATAATGAAGATGCATCAATCATCAAACATTCATGCCTTCGATCCGACCGGATTCGAACCAGCGCTATCCAGCAATCCGTGCTAGACGCTATACCAACTAAACCATGGAACGAATCAGCAGGCATTACGATTTTTTCTGTGCTTGTTGCAGATTGTTTTGGTTTTTAAGAAATCTTTTTTTCATTCAGTCAGGTAACTTTACAGCTACCATCAGCTGATTAGAGATGTCGCCATAATTATTGTAATTAAATTTATTGAATGTTTCACTACTAAGATATTCAATTATTTTTTTTTGTTAAATTACTCCACTACTTGGTTTTAATTATTAATACAAAGATCGAACATTAAGAAAAATTCGATTCGAACCAGCGTCTTCCAGCAATCCGTGTTAGACGCTCTGCCAACTAAGTCACGGAACGAACCAGCAGACGATTTACGGTTTTTGTTAGAATATTTTTTTTATATATAATATTCAGTGACGGAAGAACAAGTTGCGTGTCGAGCGGTAAGCGACACGCCTGTCCCTAACAGTTGCAGTGCCACTGCACACAAAGATCTGAGGAGACTGCCACTGCGCCCGACACCCTGAGACATATTTCAAATTCAAATTCAAATTCAAAATAATCTTTATTTCATAGGTAAGCATTATTACACTTGAAATCGTCAGAATATTAAACTCTACCGCTCATTCGTAAGGCAGATTCCCTGAGAAGAATGAGCAAGAAACTCTTTGTAAATAACATTTACAATATTTTTTTTTTTATTTGAAACATCAGAGATCGAGACTACATCCATGAGCTAAACGGGTTACTACCACGGATTTTTGTCATCCAAGTACGCAGAAGTTGTATAATAACCTTTAGTATAAAGTTTTTGTTTCACTATAGTTTTAAACCTCGTGAAAGGCAAATTTTGTATATCAACCGGAATCTTGTTATAGAAGCGTATACATTGCCCCTTAAATGATTTTTTGACTTTGTGAAGACGACTATCAAGAAAAGCTAGTTTATTTCTATTCCTCGTATTAATGTTATGTCTGTCACTATTTTTCATAAATAAATTACTATTCCTTTTAACATAAATTACATTCTCATAAATGTACTGTGAGGCTAGTGTAAGAATGTTAATTTCCTTAAACTTATCTCTCAAAGATACTTTGGGGCCCAGCTTGGAAATTGCCCTAACTGCACGTTTCTGCAGGACAAAGATTCTGTTGATTTCGGCGGCATTACCCCAAAGCAAAATGCCGTATGTCATTAGACTGTGAAAGTAGCTGAAGTAAACCAATCTAGCGGTTTCGACGTCTGAAAGTTTCCTTATTTTTTTAATCGCGTACACTGCAGAGCCGAGCCGTTTTGATAACTTACTTATATGGGGACCCCATTGCAATTTAGCATCTAACGTTATACCTAGAAATACAACTGTATCCACAAGATTCAATTTTTCGCTTCTAACTACAATGTTTGTAACCGTCTCTCTAACATTGGGTAATGTAAATTTCACACAATTTGTTTTTTTCTCATTAAGAAGTAGGTTATTAACAGCAAACCAATCAACTACTTTAGATATAGCATAAGTTGATAAGTCTCACTTGCCGGTAATTTCACTTAACCTTTCAGAACCGGAACACAAGTAATGCTTACATTATTGCTTGGCGGCAGAAATAGGTAAGGTGGCAGTACCTCCCGAGACGAACACTTTCACAAGGAGCTCTACTGCTATTAAATAATAACAAAATAGTAGAGTAATTAAACAAAAAAAAATTGAATATCATGGTAGTAACCACATCGTGACATTCAATAACTTAAATTCATGCATTTGTTTTGGAAATTCCTTAAAATAAAATAATAAAAACTGGTTACCTAAGAGTAGGTTATTTTATTAAATTAGACAACATCATATACGTTGCTTCGATCCCAAAATTAGTAAGTAAGTAAAGCACTTGTGTTGTGGAAATAGGTAACAACGACCACTACTACTTTCAAAAATCATAATTAAACAAACACACACTAGCACATTCTGCGTATCAAAAAAATTATGTGAGAATTTAATACGAGTAGTAACAACAATCATTTTACATCTTTTAACATCGACTTAGTACCTACAGCCTTATTCAATCTTCATTGAAAGATATCGAAATTCAAATACATTTTCAGATTTTGTGACATAGCAGATACAGCTCAAAATTAAAAAAAATATATAAGAGTTTAACATTGATTAAATCAAACTTATCAAATATACGACAACGCATCAAGAATCTTCTCCAATCGCAATGAAAACAATAGAAATGAATGGAGTTAATAAAGCTGTCTTTTTGGGAGTGACCTTAGATAGTAAACTTAAATGGTTTCCACATATATCTTCCTTAGCCAGCAGATTAGGTTCCGCTGCATACGCAGTCCGTAGAATACGTGAGCTTACCGATGTTGCTACTGCTAGACTAGTTTACTTTATTTACTTTCATAGTATAATGTCCTACGGGATTCTCATGTGGGGTAAATCGGCAAGTATACCGTTTAGGTTCTCGGGTTTCTCTCGGAGAAAAGTTTAAGGGGACTGGTATCATGACTGTGCATTTACTCAAATATTTTGTGTGCCCGTAATAATATACATAATTTCATTAAGAAAGAAGATTTCAATAATATTATTAAACTTAGAACTAAATCCAAACTCATGGTACCACGATTTCGTTTAACTAAGGCAAACTATTCTTTTATGTGGAACGGTATACGTTTTTACGTGGGGCGCACTATAAGTTTCCGGAATGAATAAGAAGTATAGTATGCTATAAATGGTAAGAAATGAATTTATTGTTTCTCAAAATATTCTCCGTTAGCGTTAATGCACTTTTTCATACGAATGAACCAATTCTGAAAACATTTATGCCATTCCTCCGTGACAATCTCTGAAACATATTTTTCATACTCTTCGACAGCCTCTTCAGGTGATGAAAATCGTTGACCACGTAATTGGTTCTTAATTTTTGGAAATAATTAAAAGTCACAAGGTGCCAGGTCAGCACTGTACGCGGAATGGCTCATAAGGTCAACGTTGTTCACCTTCAAAAATTCATTTGTTTTCTGGCCGTGAGAGAACTGGCATTATCGTGGTGCAAGATGTTTACGGTTATTTTTACGGAATTTGTCTAGAACTTCCGGCAAACAAATGGTCGTGTACCATACACTATTCACGGTACAACGATTCTCCAAAGCAACAGTAGCCACGTGTCCAGTTTTATAAAAAAAATAAGCAATCATTCCCTTAGAGGCACTTTGCACGCACGCCACTTTGGTTGGTTTCGGCTCATTTCGAAAGACCCATACACTCGATTGCTACTTTGTTTTGGGATAGTAACTATAAATCCATGTTTCGTCACCTATTATCATGTCCCACACCAAATTTGACGCCCCTTCGTTGAATCTGGTAAGCATGGCATTGCATCAAGTGACGCGAACCGTTTTTTGAGCCTCAGTCAAATTGGGCGGGATCCACCGAGAGCACAGCTTTTTCACACCCAAACGTTTGTATAGTATTGATTGTATTTGACTCATGCTTATGCCTAAAAATGCCCGAATCTCATGGTATGTCATATGCTTGTCTGTTTTGATCGTACGGCGCACAACATCGATGTTTTTGTTGTTCACAGCAGAGGACGGGCGACCATCACGAAATTCGTCACTGAAATTTTCACGAGTTACATCCATGGTGATGTAGACAACCAATTTCTAAAATGTCGCCACATTGTAAATACAAGTGACAGTCAGATGAAACAAACTGTATTCTACAGCCAAAGAGTTCCACTTTCAAATGTTGTAATTACTTTTTAAATATTGTTTACGTAAGTGGCCAGTTCCGAAAACTTATAGTGCGCCCTATGTAGGGGGAAGCGGGGCAGTTTGACACAGGGGGCACATTTATGCACCTGCATTATCTCCATACCTTCAAACATAATATTAGTTGTGATAATACTAAACGTGCCTTTGTACATATAAGTAATAGATAAGCGATGAACCAGTTAGTCGTTTTCGTTCGAAAGGTCATAAAGTGTTTTCACAGCCGTTAACTAAAAAAACAAGTGACGCAAATACGAGTGCCACTGCAGTTTTGTTCACTTTATATGGTTTTATGTCTTAATACAGGGTAAACTAGTGTATTCACTAACTAGACTTGCATGTGACTGAGATAATATATAATGATTTTTTTTTAATAAATATTCTTTTCTATACTGGCTGGTGGGGTATTTTTATACACTAGTGAGTGGGGCAGTTTGGTACTTATCAAAGTGCTAGGAATTAGTTATCTTGTACGAAAAATATAAAACTGTTTCAACAAGTCATTGTAAAGAGGTGAACTAGTGACATTTTGCGCTATAGTCAGCTCTTCCTCCATTTCTACTTCCAAGACTACATTACAAAGAACACTTTTCAAATGGTGACCTAGAAAGAAGTCTTGATAGATCAAGTTCGGAGGCACATATAGCGTCATACTTTATGAACATTTGATCATCTAGTGCGGATAATACATGGCAACCAGGAATGGCACACTACGTTGATTCACACATTCTAAGTGCCCCAAGCGGTGTATCAAAGTTCCCCACAGGTGGGGCAGAATTTGACAATTCCCACTTTTTGTAAAAACCAAAATTTTTCTATTATTCAATGCTATTTATGAAAGAAAAGATTAAATTAGTAATGTTTATTAGTTATATTATCAATTAGGTAGAAAAAATATTCATTATATAATAATTTCATTTAGTAGACCAAAATTAAAGTTAAAATAAGTGGATGAATCTGCCCCGCTTCCCCCTACAAGAGTATGTTTTAGATAAAGAAGTATGGAAAGACAACAAGAGTGTAAATTCCACACAATTATGATTCAAAGTGTATTCCGTTTATTCAAAGTTTATTTCAACAATCCCTAGAGTTTCTTGCTCGTTCTTCTCAGAGAGGCCACGCAACGTAGTGAACGAGCAGTAGCTTAAAAAATTACGTTTTCAAGTGTAATAATTATACGTATGGAATAAATGATTGTTTGACTTTGACTTTAACAAATCAATGGAAAAAATGATAGTCGACTAATAACTGACAATAACTTAAAAAAAACATTGCATTATTTTGGCAATTTTATTAGTGTACCTACCGCTAAAGGTGCCGGTGTGTGTTTAATTATATTATTTGAAATTAGAAATAGACCATACAACATTATACAAAAAATATATATGTCAGGATGAATTCTTGGAGAGCCAAATACAAATGTTTGTAAACACTCTCCGATTTTTGAATAGAATTAAGCAAATTTTTCGCCGTCACTTTATCATTACCCTCTCAATAATAATAATAATAATTACAATAGATATTTAAATACTTACGATTATGCCTAACTTTGCTAATGTGTTTGGTGAGCATATGGCTGTAGTAGCGACACGACTCCATGAAGTTGGTTTTTATGCATTCTTCCACAGCTGATAAACACAACAAAATTAAAAAATCATTCCATTAGGTACCACCACGGGCTTGTATGTTAAACTGGACCGCGCCCTAAGTTAATAAAACGAGCCGAGTGAGAGGCTTCAAAGTAACGCGTCTCTTTATAATAGGGTGTTCATTCATTTCTCAGCCAGCCATATTATTTCTGTAAAAAAGTTTTTAGTTTTTACAGAAAATGTGGCCACTTATGGATGCCCAAAACCACTAATATTATTTCATAATATTATTCTAAGTTCATAATACAATTTACTATACTTATGTGATATGCTACTTCATAATGGAAGATTTCATTCTTGATATAATTTTGTTTTTGTATTATTACAATAAAAGCATATTACCTTTAAGCAAATATATATATGTATATTCAAACTTTAAAACAGTTAATAGACTAGACACTACAGAAAATTTTATTTACCGTTGCAACTTGTTAGACAAGAACAGATCACTACTTCGAGCTATCTCACGTGCCTCGGTTTTTTACTTTTAAATAAACTTTAACGTAATCCCATAAGGTGTAAATTTGTAATATTGGTATATCGAAGTGCGCGATCCAGTTTACGAAGTATATAAATCCGTGCCTATCACATATCTTGGAGAGTGAAACAGACGAAAAAAAATACGTAGAGTTTTTGTTTTTGTATCGCTTTGATTTCCATCTATTTATTACTTACTTAATTGATTAACTTAATACTCATTGGCATATTTAAAGTAACGCTAAAAAGTAAAAAGTATATATATGATTTGCACTTACGATACTTTGTACAAAAGTTGTTTAATTAAAGAAAAAAACTCATTAAATTCGCGTTGTTTATATCACCATCCCCACAAAATTATGTGGGCTCGTCCGGGATGGTGAAAAATATCGAGTTTTAAGAGTTTTACAAAGATTAAGAAGAAAGTTCATCCTGAAAAATTTTTGGAGGTTATGACCGGCACGTGGCTCTTCATTTTACGACTTACTTTTACCATTTGAAGAAGATCCCACCTAAAAAGAATGAAGATGATAAAGGCTCGACTGACGCGGAATTATCTCCCCGGATATCCTTTAACGACTTGGAAAAATCAATGTTGTCATTCAGCAGTGACGATACGTATGGAATTGAGTCCTGGATTAAGGATTTTGAAGATGTGGCTTCTTTGATGCAGTGGAGTAAAATTGAAAAACTGATTTATGGAAAACGACCACTTTCCGGAACCGCTCGACTGTTTCTTAGATTGCTAGGCGGTCAGGATTCTTGGGATAATTTGAAGAAAGAATTAAAAGAGAGTTCGGCTGTAAACTAAATAGTGCTGCGGTTCACAAATCGCTTGTCGCACGCAAGTTGAAGCATAGTGAGACCTTACAACAATATTTTTTGACTATGAAAGAAATGGCAACGCACGGGTCGAAGGGTAGAAGATGAAACCCTGATCGAGTACATTATTGATGGAATACGTGATAATGAAACAAATAAAGCAATATTATATGGTGCTGCTAACATGAAAGAATTCAGGAAAAACTTGATTTATACAGTGAAATTAGGAAGAAAATGCCTATGAAGAATCCATACTTTTCTAAACCACCACCTACGTCTGCACCTAGGACATTTAAAGATCATAAGCAATCACCGAGGTCACGTTGTTACAACTGTGGAGAGCCTAGTCACCAGTCTCCAAACTGCACAAAGGGTATAAATCTAAGGGTATAATGCTTTCGGTGCAACAACTTCGGGTATAAATCTAATGAATGTCCGAATAACCCAAAGAAGACCCTTAAATCCAACAAATGTATAAAGATTGTAATCTAGCACCTTATAAAATCATAAAGATTATTGATGTTGAAGTCAAAGTTCTAATTGACACTGGAAGTGATGTGAAACTTATCAAGAAGTCTTATTTTAATACTGTATGTGGTAGTCAGCATGGATTTGACTCGAAAGTTGTCATGTGTCTGACTGGTGTAGCTGAACAAGAAATTCGGACTACAGGATCATCTATAGTGAAAATTTAAATGGATGACTGCTACTTCGATGCTGTAATTCATATTGTTGAAGATGACTCCATACCGGGTAATATTTATACTTGGCAATCCAATCCTAGTTAGTTTTACTGCGACGGGTGTTTGTACTAAGAAGGTGATACATCTCACCACGCTAGAAAATGATAATGAAGCTCCTAATGTCGGCAACATGAAGCATTCTGGACAGATAAAAAAAATAATTAATGACTATAACCCTAAGAATTACACAAAGGAATCCAACGTTGAGTTAAAGATTTTACTTACCGAAGAGACTCCAGTCTATCAGAACCCACGACTCTTATCCCCGTTAGAACTGGATGTTGTAAATAAACAAATAGACGAATGGCTTGCCCTGGGAATTATAAAACCAAGTAAATCAGACTTTGCAAGTAGTTTTGGCAAAAAATAAAAATGGTAAATACCGGTTATGTATGACTACAGACGATTAAATAAAAACATCATAAAGGAGAGATTCCCACTCCTCTTAATCGAGGATCTTTACGTCACTTGATTTGAAGAATGGCTTCCTGCATGTCAAAGTTAATAAAGAAAGTCAAAAGTACACATCTTTTGTAACGCCTCAAGGGCAATACGAATTTGAAAAGATGCACTTTGGCCTTTGTCGAAATGACGTGTTTTGAGATATCATTGAAGATGGGACTGCACTAGCATATTTAGACATCTGATCATACCATCCAAGACAGAAGACGAAGGTCTAGAAAGACTAAGAACATTGTTCAAGAGGGCAGAAGAATTTGGTCTACAGTTTAATTGGTCGAAGTGTTATTTTTTGAAGAAACAAATTACTTACCTTGGCTATATAGTACAGGACGGATAAATTAGACCCTCAAAGGAGAAAATAATTGCAATCGCAAAATTTCCCAAGACCAAAGAATTTAAAGACACTGCAGTCTTTTCTGGGACTTAAGGATACTTCCGAAAGTTTATTAAGAATTATTCTCTAATCGCTAAACCTCTTACTGACCTGCTAAAGAAAATGTGAGAAATCTTTCAACGAATTAAAGAGCATTTTATGTCAATCGCCAGTATTAAGAATTTATGACCCCGATTTGGAAACTGAGCTGCACACAGACGCAAGCAATGATGGATACGGAGCTGTTCTACTTCAAAGAAACCCAAAAGATAATCACATGCACCCAATCCAGTACATGAGTAAGAAAACAACACCCGCTGAAAAGAAACATCATGTTTACTATCTTGAAATTATGGCTATTACAGAAGCAATTAAGAAATTTAGAGTATACTTACTAGGGATACGCTTTAAAATTGTAACTGACTGCTCTGCTTTGACAATGACATTGTAAAAGAAGGACTTACCTCCAAGGGTCACACGCTGGGCGTTAATGTTAGAAGAATACGACTACACTATTGAACACAGACCTGGTATAAAAAACAAGCATGCTGATGCACTTAGTAGAAACCCTGTAAAAAATGTCAATATACTCACCGATATCACTGCACGACTGAAGAGAGCACAGGACGACGACTTGAAACTAAAATTATTAAAAAAAGTATTAGAGAAAGAGCCCTGCGAAGACTACTGTATAGATAGTGGAATTTTGTATAAAGTTAAACAGGGGATAAAGCTACTAGTAGTACCTAAGAAAATGCAAAATGAAATTGTAAGAAAACATCATGAGAAAGGACATTTTGGAGTGATGAAAACTGAAGAACTCATATCCAGAGAGTACTATTTTGAAAACCTGAAAGAGAAAATTAAATCAGTCATAGACAATTGACTGGAGTGTATTCCGGTTTCAAATAAGAAAGGAAAAAAGAAGGTTACCTGAATCCAATCGACAAAGGGGACACACCACTCTCTACTTACCACATTGACCACCTAGGCCCTTTGACGTCGACGAATAAGAACTACAAGTACTTAGTGACTGTAGTAGATGCTTTTACAAAATTTACCTGGATTTACCCAACGAAGACTACATCTACTGAAGAAGTTTTAGATAAATTGAAGATTCAGCAACAAACTTTTGGCTCACCACAACGAATTATTACTGACCGTAATTCTTCCTTTACCTCGCATGCTTTCAGAGACTATTGTAATATAGAAAATATCATCCATCACGCTATAAAAACTGGTCAACAAAGAGGCAATGGACAAGTCGAACGTGTCCACCAGATAATAATCACGTTCTGGGTAAATTGACAATTCATTACCCGGCTAAATGGTACCATTGAATTAGTGCTTTGCATCGAAGTTTAAATAGTACTTACCATAGAAGTGTCCAGATGACGCCGTTTGAGCTGCTGATCGGCTCAAAAATGAGAGACAGGAATGATGATATTCTAAAACTGATAGAAGAAGAAAGTATACAAAATTTTACAGATCAGCGTGAAGACCTAAGAAAAAGGGCAAAGGAAAATACAAAAAATACAGGATGAGAATAGAAAGACCTATAACAAGAAATGTAAAGAAGCCAAACAATATAACATTGGAGAGTACCCTTAGTATCTTGGACCTTACGAGATTATAACGAAGAAGAGGCACGATAGATACGATTTGAAGAAGGTTGGTCATGGGTAAGGGCCTAATAAAACATCGAGTTCAGCCGACCTGATGAAACCACGGATGGCAAATGATTCGCATTCATCTGGGGCTGATGAATGAGGAGCATGGCCGTGTGGAAACAGTGCTGTGTGTCAGATTTATAAATTAAAAAAAATGTTGAACTATGAGTTAGCTGTCCAGTTTTTATTTGTCCATGTTTCGGCTATGATTTGCGCTTACGATACTTTGTACAAAAGTTGTTTAATTAAAGAAAAAACTTATTATTAAATGCAGTTACTAAAGCGGCACTTAGCATTATTTTATTTTATACATATGTTTCTACAAAGCGCAAAACCGACTAATCACACACAGGCCCTATGTTGCAATGTGATAAAATTTTACTAATGGAGAGCTTGGATGTTTAATTTGTAGTAAAATTTTGCATATTGAATACAATTAATATAATGAGTTCAAGTAATACACACAGAGCGAACAATACCTCCCTCTTATATCTCGAAAATCTTAAAATGAATGATTAAAAATAAAAGACAAAAAACAATCAAAACAAAATAATTATATTTTACTTTTTTTGTAACACCAAGTAACAGGATGTCAGCCGCACGATTACCTATAGCAGTTGCTGCGTCACTTAGAGCTTCAAATCGCAAAGATCTGAGCGGCTCTGCCACTGCGCCTGTCACCTGGTGACAATTAAGTTGACAATTCTCATGTGCCTATAATTCCACCCCTTTACCCTTTAAACCCGGAACGCAATAATTTTTATTTATTTATTAATTTGCATTCAGGTAACAAAGACCACCTAAATACATATATAAATACATTCCTTATAGACTAACATACATAATAATACAATAAAAACACTACTAACTAATTATTATTTACACGTATTGTCTGCGACGTGTGACACAACGTGGGTGTCCGATAGCCGGCCTCGAAGACATCGGTACATGACCCCTTTCGGCCAAAACTCATCTTTCATGAAGGTCGACAGATGTTGAGTTGGTACTCTCACCACAAATGAATTAAAATTTACATAGTGGCGGGACACCAACTGCTCGACCTTCAGGGTAGCATTGGGTTTCAGCCGTATATACTCCACAATATCGGCAGACTTTGTGGAGTAATGAAGCCGTGACACGTATAGCAACGTCGTCGGTATCGCTGAACACAGTAAATGATTAGGGCCAGACGGGGCGGTGCCACTAAGGTTACGGCTGGTGTACTTCTTCCTTTCCACCTTTTTGAAACCGTCCTCGTCTCCAGTATCTTGAGTATCCGTTTCATTTTCTTTCCCTTTGTTGGTAACTGCCTGGGTTGTGGTTGTGGAGCACTGGATCGGTTAACAGCGGCAACAGCAACGTAGTTACGTGGATAATGGTCACATTACTGCTTGGCGGCAGAAATAGGTAAAGTGGCAGGATTTCCCTGGACGAACACTTTCACAAGCTCTACTGCACTTATTCTACATGTCGGAATCGTCATGGTTCAGAACCGAACTTCCAGACATTGTGTGACTAGATTTAGAGATCGTGATCACTTTATTGCAACTCAAAGTAATGTAATGTAATAAAATGTAAAGTGCAGTGAGCATTACTGCGTTCCGGTTTTGAAGGATAAGTGTGCTAGTGAAATTACAGGCACATGGCACTTTTCAACTTACGTTTGAGGGTGACGGGCGCATAGGCAGTGCACCTCACATCTTTGCGATTTAAAGCTCTGAGTGGCACTGCAACTGTTATAGACACGTGTCTCTTACCATCAGAAGCTCGGCACGACTAGTTCGTCTCATAAAAAAAAATACAACAGAAATCTTAGGGCTGTACTGTCTTCTCTGTGTATTACTTCCGTAAAGTTTAGATAAACTTTTGTTCTCCATATTTCGCTTTCTCTGGTTGGGCACCGATACATCAAATGATTATGGTCTTAATTGTGATACTTACATTGAATACCTGTTTCACCTGAGTAGGTTGTCTCGTCGCTGTGTACTATTTCGATTAAATGAGTTTGACACGCAGGGCAGAACTGCATAGGGTATTTCGAGCCCACAAAAGAAGAGGAAGAGTCTGTAGAAAAAACAAGCATAACAATTTCCAGGACATAAAATTAATTTGTCCTTTAAAAAACTAATGCTGCGTTGTCATAACTAAAGCTAACGTAATTTCATTCAAAGCTATTCACACCTAAAGTTGTTTTTTGTTTGTGAAAAGTGGCAATTCCGCTCATTTTGCTTCAGAGTCGATACAGAAACTCAAATGGCTTTGGTTGATTCCGCATATAGAGCATATAACCAGAAATAGAGACAAAATAAGGGCCATCCATCCTCGGCAACTCACCAGTTTGCGCTGAAATCACAAATTAGAAAGCTGACAGCGCCAAGAACTGACCTGTGTGTACGTCTCCGTATATTCCAAAAGTATTCTGTATTATAACAGCAAAAGATCTAATTAAAAACATTATAGCAAAGCTCAAGTTAAACTGGACGATTTGAAGTGAAATAATTGACGACAGCTGTCAATTGTTTCGAATTCGTACTGACCAATCGGAACGTAGTTGTCACCGTAATGACATGGCAGAATAGTTTTCAAACAAATTAAATGACATTTCGTCTCGTTTCTGGTTATATACTCGATGATTACGTATAACAATGAAAGTGTTGATTCAATCAGTTTGGAAGAAATATATAGTAAAATTGAGGATATAGACTTATTAGTACAAGGGCGCCCTTAAACTGCGAGGCCGTTTGATAAAAATTAATAACGAAGCACAAACTGAACGAAGCGCCTTAAAAATGTAAATAGCAATTTTTCGCTACGTTCACAATAAGACTGTTACTCGGAATTTTATCTTAGGAATTTAATTATTACTCTATTCTTTCTTTAGTAACTTACAGAAGTGAATTTTGTGCAACTAGTTTTTAAATGAATTATCTACTGGGACAAGAAAATCAGACTTAAGAAAACTTCAGGAGAGCGTATTGAAAGGACTCCGGGTAAGTATCTCACATCATTCAACTTGTTTAACTAAGACGGTTGATATGGCCATGGGAAAGTTTATTACAAAAAAGAGAACCCTAACTTCAAGCTCATAAGTTGAGGTTTGTACAGTCAAGAGCATAAGTTTGACACTTTGGTCTATGGACCGTTCAAACTTGACGTCCTCTTAACTCTATAGCCCGAGAATTGTCGAAAATCCTTTACAGATATAGGGATATTGTAAGTAGTAATATAATACCATAGTATAATAAAACAAATAGGGCAACTCCCGCCTATTTGGAGCATAAATACCTACACTTCGCCCGGAGCGTAGGGCACATTATTATTTTAGTTGTACTAAGTGGTTGTAAAGATGTCCACTGCTGAACGTAGGCCTCTCACAAAGATTTCCAGACTAGCCGGTCGAACGCGACGTGCATCCATTGGTCACCCGCCGCCCGTACCAGGTCATTCATCGCATCTAAAAGGGGCCGTCCCTAAGAAGGCCTTCCGGTTCGTGGTCTCCGTTCCAGAACCCCAACAGCTGTCAGTTCTACGGGCCATATGCCCTGCCCACTGCCACTTCAACTTGCTAAAACTTTTAGCTGTCTGTGACTTTCGTTCTTCTAGGTATCTCATCGTTTCTGATTCGATCTCATAGAGAAATGCCGAGCGCTGCTCGCTCCATAGCTTCTTGAGTAACTTGCACGCACGCACGCAAGCACGCACGCACGCACGCACGCACGCACGCACTCACTCACGCCCGCTCACGGTGCGTACGTTTGTATGGAGTTACTTTACCATATTTGTCTTCTTATACTATGATAATATTTTGGTGAAGTACAATAGTTTTACAACTAACTACAGAACTAATCCATCATATAGGGGTGTATAACTTAATGTTGTTACATATCACCTACCTTTATAATAATAAAGCGATATTACATATATAAGAAATACGTGTTATATAATAAAAATACGATCTTTTTTTAACAAAATCTCTTTTTAGTAGGGTAACGGTAGTAAAAGATCTACGTTTTATAGGAAGTGCGTCTTTAAATTTGAAATATTTCTTTTTGTTTTTAGCGTATGCGAATAGTGATTAGTATAGTTGACAGCCATATTCGTCAAGAAAGATTATGCTGTAATATGTTTCATAAAAAAGCTATTATAATTATTACGACAAAATACTAAACTAGAATTTGTCTAAATATCCAGTAATGAACACCAAAAGTCCACTAATTAATTAACCAGTAATCGACACACCGTTAATGAACACCCAGTAATTGATACTTACCAATAAGAAACGTGTTAGTATGATAGAAAATTTTATCCCAACATCTAATTAAAAATAAATAAATAAAAAGATATAGAACAGTTGCGCTTGTCAGTCACTGGCGTCGCCACCTTAGCTATTTAAAACTCGTTCTGTTTTTAAGGAGGCAATTTTGAAAACTTCGTAACTTCGTTTTTATATGACATTTCTTTTTTACTCTTCAAGCGCAATATTGGGCCATTAAATTTAAAATATAATTTGGCAAGTTCTATTAAAATTGGTTACCGGAATATGCTCGTAATTTCGTGTTCAAATTTAAATGGGATCAACACTGAGGTACCCAACAACAACAACAAAAAAAAAAGAATTATCAAAGATAGTAATCGCATAATATACAAAACAATATATAATCGAATTGAGAACTTCCTCCTTTTTTGAAGTCGGTTAAACAGATGCTGTGACTGAAGAAGAGAATTTCCTACACGATATTAAAGTTATGAATCTTATTCAGAAACTTGTGTAGTTCAGTTGAAGACTTTTTTATAAAAAAAAGATATGATGGTGAATCGCACCTACTTGCACTTGCCTTCAAAAAAGGAGGAAGTTGTCATCCTTTCGTGAAGTCGGTTAAAAATAAAGGTATAATCAGATTGTTATACAAAATTATTTCTAGCAATTCTGTTTTTTGTACCTACTTAAAAGTTTATGAGATGTACTATTTAATATTTAAACTAGGAATGTAATCATAACAATTGATTTACTGTGAAGATTCGTCCAGAACAAAACGCGATGTTACTTTGACAACAATCCTCTTTTTTTATCTAGTTCTAAATCTAAAAAAAAAAAAAAAAATTCTAACAAATATAAAATAATATTATAATCTATCCAGCCTGCGCTACTGTACCTTGAGTGGCTGTATGGCAATAGCGCACTGGACATTCGTGATGAGAAGTGTACGTAGACACTGTAGACTGCCTCTCCGTGCTCGTAGTGGCTGATGTGAAAAAAGAGATCAATGTGACAAATGTAAAATAACAAAAGCAGTATTAGTTGGAATGTTAAATAACTGGTAGTCCTAATAGAACTTGGTAATTCGTCTTGTGAGAGGCATAACAAGCGTTTCTTGAAGCTGACTCTCTCTCTACAACCTCAAATGGCTTTGCGGAATCAACCGCATAACAATGAAAGTGTTGAATTAATCACTTTTTAACACCCTTGCTCGTAAAGCTGATGTAATTCCACCGGTTTTAAATATGTAAAGCGGGTCATAAAAAACGCGTGTCTTACCAAAGGAAATAGTTAAGTTATAGTTACAAATTCCATAACAGTATTATTTGCCATTTCAAATATGGAACTGATCGCCGCCGCACGACTCCGGCTAGTGAGCAGCGCGCTGTTGCTATTCAAATTTCGAACAAATCGCCGCGCGGCGCCAGTCAGTAGGCAGCGCTAGCGCGCTGTTAAAATGGCGGGAAAGCAACAGTGTGCATTCACAGATTGAGTTTATTTATGTACTGATGATACTTTTTTATTTACAACTAATGACGAATTACAATGCTCTTCTGCCGCCTTTCAAGAAGTTTCGTCGTCTCCAACATTTACCCTACCACAAAACAATGACATTATGAATAGTAATAATAATAATAACATAATTAAAAAACCAACTACAACTACGTATCATTTTAATAATTGTAATTTCACTAACTGTTTCAATAATTAAAAATGAACAAAATATAAAATGTTTTTTTTCTGTTTCCTCGCAAATGTGTTAAAAAACGTCGTACGATATACGTGCGTATTGGTTATAACATGCTCGGCTCAATTAAAACTCCGCCTCGCATGCTTAGAATAATAACGCATAGAATGATAGTTTCATATCAAACGAACTGTCACAAGTGAGGCAAAAACCAAATTCATGTAGGCGTAAGCAACTTGTAACTACGCTCGTCGGCACGCACACAAATATACAAATAATGATGCCATGGAATAACATTTCCCTCAAAAGTGGGGAAATTGTATCTTGCTTAACTCATCATTAAGTTAAAGGTGCCTACAGATTTGCCCGACATTGTCGATCAGGTGCCTACAGATATGCTCGGTTTTGTCGATGAAAAACGAATATAGCACTTATTTGTAAATCCAAGATGGCGGACACGATTTTTCAAAATATGCTATATGGGTATCCTTTTCGAGGTATTTGGGGATGCTCATTACGAATTTGGCACTCATTTCTAAATCCAAGATGGCGGACACGAGTTTTGAAATA